TATACGCAAATGAATTTCGAAAGCTCATTGCAGAAAATAATTGTAAATATAAATTTATATAAAAAATAAATCAAATAACATTTCCCAAATTGTCGAATAAAGTATTAAACGTGAAAGTAATTTATATCTCAAACACGTTACTACAAAGGTAACTGTATTCGATAAAAATTTCCCAAAAGAAAGCAAATAAAACATTCATTTAAATAATTATTCAACAAGATATCATTTCATTTCACTGCTCACTTCCGCTACCAACATAGAAAACCGCATTTGAAAAAAGAGAAAAGCAAAGCTGCGACTACTTGTCCTTCCGGATGCGTTAAAAGTTCCACTGTGCGCCGGGTGCCGGAAATTATCCCCGGCAGCAACATTATCACCGCGGAAAATGATGTATTCGAATTACGGCGGGGCGCGCACAGCGGAGTACGAAACTCGGGTGGCGCGCTGTTCGGCGCATTACACGGCTGGCTGATATTTGTTTCGGGCCACCGGAGAAATGTTTCTGTCAGAACGGTTACTCGACGAGTGCATATTCCGCTGGTATTAAAAATCCCATCAGCGTCGTCTTTTTCGTTTCTGATAATTGCGCGTCGGGTCTTCCGCGGTCGGCTGAATAACCACGACGTCGGAACAACGATTCCATCGCTGTTACCGGCGCGACATCAACGCGCCGCGCCGTCAAGAAACGAGCAGGAAGGTTCCAACTCGCGATATCGCGTCTACACGCGTGCGCGCGCGCGCTGTCGTACACAAGTGGTTTTAAAAGGCACAAAGCCGAAATGAAGCAAGCTTTAATATCTCCACTGGAAATTACGTTTCCGCAGCGAGAAAGGCTACAACGGAAATTCGATCAACCGTCCGGAGTTAATGGCCGTCGGGTAGGCGACGTTTCATCGATCACCAGCTTTTCAGCACTTTTTTAATGTGATTGTTTTTTCAATATTCGACACTCGCTCCGACGACGGATTGAACCGCGTGGAACTGCGTGTTATTGGTTAATAGTTTCTTTTCACCTGCTGAATATCGGTTAAATTATGGTGAACGCATCATTTGCAGTGATTTCCTTTTCTAGAGGATTGCTTTGAGACGTAGTTCGATTAGATTTGAAATTATGCGTGGGATAAAGGAATTGTACATTTTGGGAGAAATAGAATTTACAGTTAGCAATAGATAATTATCAGTAGATAATTAATAAGTTAGAAAATAGTAAGGAATTTATATTTTACTTTCTGTCTGTATGCATCATATAATACTTCTGCCTATGTTTGCTACTGGTTTTGGCTACTATAAATATTTGGCGAAACGATAGTTGCAAGTAGAAGACGTGGAACTATATAAATAATACAGTGCAGATAAAATAAAACTTTGTCATATAATTAAATTATATCTTAAACTATTACTTGTATATAAATTTATAATGCATATCAGTATACTACGTATCTTCCTTATTTTTTTCGCGATATTTAAAATGTTTGTCATAATTTAATGCACTTATATTGTTCAATTTTTAAGCCTATAAAATACAATTACTTTAGATACACTTTTTTGAAAATAATGATCTCATAAGGTATCGATTATATTAGGTCGCAATTTTCAATTTATTTAACTCTTTGTCTTACGACTACTTTCACAACTGTGCTGGATAACATTACTTTATCCTTAATAATTTATTAAAAAGAAAAAATTATTTCATACTTATTCTATGTCAACATATACTTTAAAAGTTAACTACTGATAACAGAAAAGTAATATTTAATTTATATTCGAAAGAAGTAAATAACGTTTAAATTAATAAAAAAATAAGACAAGGAGTTAACGGTATGTTTGAATTATCTTGAAGTACATATAGAACGAGTAAGATCCAGCACTCTTCCTTATAGGTGAATAAATGTTTTGTTACTTTCTCGTTAGACTTATGATGTGATAAACGTTTATGGCATTGTTTCTTAGGAAGTGCAACGTAATGTTTTATATGAATTTTTCACTCTTATTTTACGTATGGAAATAAACCTCGATTTAAGAGCTTATATACACGAGCGATACGATCCAGCCGTGGTGCAGCAGCGATTGTTTTGGAGTAACAGAGAGTTCTTCTGTCTCTCTCACAAAAACAGGATAAGAGAACTTCGCGTTTTTATTCTTTCAAAATCATACAGCGTCACCGCCGCGGCGCTGCAGCGGGATCTCGTCGCTCGTGTGCATAGGCCCTTAATGTCAATGGTTTTCGCGACACAACCACGTACTCCGCGTTGTTCATCAGATGTTAAGATCATTTGAGTCAATTTATTTTCTTCGCGTAATCTCTGAACATTGCACGATGTTTGTAAAGCCTGAAGGACCACCCACTGTGGAAAAGAAAAACGATTTTACTGATGCTCAGAAGTGTCTATTCTGTTGCTCTAATGAGACTGTTGTCCACTTCGTCTGTAAAACTGTCACTTGACAGTTTAGATCATCGGTATTCAGCTGCTTATGTCAAACTGTTCTCAAAATTTTGCGAATTTCTGGAGAAATATGAACTCTCCTTTCAGAGTTTACGTGTCCCGTATAGAAAGAAGTTCCTATCGGCCAATTAGAATTAGTTTGGGTGGCTTCCAAGAAACTCTCTTCTTCTAAAGTAGCGATGACTTCGCTGCTGGTTAACTTAAAAAATTAACTGAGTTTTTAAGAACCGTCCCAAACTTTCTCTCTTGACACTCGGTCTGCGCGTGGATTTGTAATACGCCATTGCTACTGAGATACCAGAAGACCTTAGAACTGTCTGTTGCTCACTTGCAGTCCTAAGGTCTTCCTGCCATAAATACCGATGATTGTTACGTAAGTGCAAGACTCTGCTCTATGCTTAATCTTTTGCACTTGAAAATTTTCGACTAGAAATCTTCAACGTTTTCCGATAAGATATAGGCGACGTTCTTTAAAACCAGCCAATAAGAAAATTTACATGAGTCAAGAAATAAAGCTATTTTACTCTAATATTTCACGTATCTGTGCATTATACGAAGCTTAATATTATATGTGAGCTTATAATTTCATTATATCAAATCAAGTGGTGACTGAGAGTCACCTCCCGAGCGCAACGTATTGTAAACCCAGTATAGCATCAATCCCTATATCTAAACACCAGACAAACCCTGAAAGGAATGCGGATCTCGCTGGTCAGCTTTCATCTTTCCTCATCCCATTTTCGATAATAACTTGCTGTTTGTCAATACAGGCACACATAAGCAAATCAAAACCATAAACAAAATTCATAGCGAGAGACCCCTCTTTCCCTTGTGTCGTCCCGCGGTTCATTTCACGAACTACGCGGTAGGTATCACAGCGATGCACAGAGAATCGTATTAGCATGCCGCAGGAATGTTTAAACAGCATTTGTCGCTCTGAATGTTCGGGGAATGGCGGAAAGCGTGAGAGGAAGATACGTGTATTTAAATAGAAGACAAAAAATGACCGAAATTCTCGGCATCGAAACTTGTTTTTTCTCATACATGTCACTACTGTTCGTATTCACATTTCGTATTCACGCGATTCTGTTAAATATACATATTAAATTGAAGAGAAAGAAAACAGAATAAAGAGAAACTATGCGATGTAATGTGTAGAGGGCGACACACGGTATATGGAAAATGTACATTGCGTAGACGATGTAAATTGCTTGAGTCGTGATAAAGGAAATTTCCAAGAGATTCAGAAAATTTAGTTTCAAATAAAAATATGAATATTTCATTTGTTGTTTTAGTAGATACATTATTGTTAAAGCGAACGCCCTCTTATTTTGCCTGTTGACCATTCCGAGATTTTGTATATTCGTAGAATAACCGAAGGTAATGTAGATTTATTTATATTACTTTTGATAAATGTGATAATTCAAAGTGCTCATACTATTGTTTCTCTCGTGTATTATACTACTGTATTGGCATATTTCTACAATTTTTTTAATTATTGTCATTGTAAAGATCCTGTTCATAGTGTTTTGCATGTTCAACCTAATACTAAAACTGTTCTATAAAACAATTTGCGAATAAGGGTAATGAACATAAGAGTGTAAAGAAATAATTAACGTTTCTTTTCTACTTCAGAATATCGGAAAAAACATTAAACGGGAAGGTTATGTAATAACAGCAATGTTATAATTATGAGAAATTTCTTTTCGATAGATATTATTTTGAAAACGTATCTATTTAAAAAATACGATAACTAATTTCTCAGCATCCACCTTGTTCATTGTCTAATTTATACAATAAAGAATTAAGAAAGTATCTTCATTTGGAATTGTGAAAAAATCGATTATTTATTTCTTGAATTCTCTTGAAGTGTATATCTTAAAAAGTATCCATGCCATGAAATATGCCGGAATTTAAAAAAAAACTTAGTTACAAATATTTGAAGAGCACTGTTTCGGCATAACGCGATATGCAACAGCAGGAGTACTTTTCCTTCTTACTTGGCACTTCTTGTATCCTTACTTATAAAATTTCTTTTTAAATCTCTTTTTGTGTCCCTACATGATCCTGGAATTGCTGATTAATTGGAAATATTCGATATATAATTTCCCAATTCGTAAAACTATCTGTCCCGTATATAAACAACACAAGAGTTTAAACGCGTTTTTCTCAAAACCATGTTTTCTGACCATAGTTGATATAATATCGCAAGATCCAGTTTGAAAATTGAACAGGTTCTTTAGCAGACTTGCAGTTACAGTCGGTACCTCAATATTTAAAAGATCTTAATTTTTTATGATTTTTCATTATGTTAAAAGCCAAAAAGAAAGTCTACAAAATCGCAACTTGAACTTTAAACTGACTCCATTTTTTTAAGCAAAATTTTATTCCATTGGTAGGTATTTACATAGGTAAAACGATGAACGTAGCAAAGTCAGGGTTGATAAGCCAATCATAATGATTTTTTGTAAAAATAAAACATAGGTTGCAAGTACCAAAAAGAATTTATTTGCCAAGCATTAATTGCATAAAACGAATTTCATATTTTGTTCGCAGGGAACGCAAAGAATCCTTAGACGCGAAAATTGTTAGAACCAGCGTGCCAATCAACTCGGAGGCGTATCACATGAAGCACAAAAGGAGGGGTGTGGCTTTAATCTTCAATCATATCAACTTCAAGAAAATGGCATCCAGGAAAGGTTCGATTAAAGACAGTAAAGACCTAACGCAAACATTGAATCGGCTTGGTTTCGAGATCCGAGAATACGTCGATCCTACCGTTCAGACAATTTCATCGATCCTGAAAGTCAGTAAGTAGACACTGCCAATTTATACATGTATTCGCTTTTTAAAATTCTTCGACACTCTGAAAGCTTAACTCTTTGAATGCCAGAAATTTTTTCCATACATATACGAAAAACGCCAGCGGTCTTTATGCGTTTTTGTAATGGCGCGGGAAAAACTTTGTACGAATGTCAATTTTGAAATATTCCTGTAGAAATTTTTACATGGTGTTTATAACATATTAGATTAAATTTAACCAATTGCTATGTTTATATTCATATTTAATTCACTGTTCTCACAATATAACACAGAATTCATAACTATAAAATTTAAAAAAATTGTAGATCATTTTCAGAAATCTTTGTTTATTCGCACACAATCCGTGAAGTCCTTTTCTGCAGTTTGAGTATCTAAGATCAGATCTTTTTACTGGCTTTGTTAGATTGCACTTCATCTACATCATGTAATGCACCATTGTTCCTGGCAAACTTTGCTGTAGGACGATATAACTGTGCCAGTTCATGGAATTATTTCATTATCACAACAAATATTTTGTTTTTCCACTTTATTCTAACTGATTTGAGACCAGCGCGATAGCGCTTCTGGCACTTTCCGCGTATTAATGGAGGAGTGCGATGGCGCTCCACGGAACTCAAAGGGTTAAAAATTAACAGAATATTAGAGCACGAACGTAGAATGAAATAACAGTGTCGATCCGAATGTTTTGCATTTCGCAAATTCTTCGACGATCTAAGTGGACACTTGAAAACTAATGTAATATTACGAGAAATACAGAATAAAAATACAATAATGCGTAAAACAAATAAATATTGATAAAACGATGGCCTAACAAAACGCGAGGTACTGCTCGTAAAACGAAAATTAAATCATTCGTAAACGTGTAACTATATGTACGAATGTACGGATGGGAGTGATAAAATTTAGATAATTGATACAAACATATAAAATGGTGATACTGCGTCAAAATTTTGATTTCAAACGTTGGACACGAATTCCGAGCGACGTGTAACACGATTTTCGCGCTGAAACACGTTCCATACGCGCGCCTGGCGACAGCTTTTAATCATTTTTCTGCGATGCTCGTTAAACAACGCGTAATTCGCGGCAACGCGCAGAAACGAATAATATCAGCAATAATTCATTTCGATCGTCTCCATGTAACGAATCGCGTTTCCATTATTTGAGTAACGTCGCTTTGATATAGTTCCAGGCTCTACCGACAGGGCCGCGATTACACGCGTTCCTTGATGATTAAAATTAGTAAATACGTGGAACAGTTTAAAGAGAGGGAGAGAGATAGGAGGCGGTCAGTTTAAATTACCTAATGAAAGACACGTTTTCGGAATTAAACACGTGCGGAACATATGAACGATTCCGAACACACCTTGAAACGTGCTTTGGATGGAAATACGAATGAGGGGCGGTCAAAGTTGAGAGCAACGATGAAGACATTAAAATCGTATAATGGACTTTTGTTAAATAGGAAATAACCGAATACGTTGTTGCGTGTGAAATTGTTGATGAACGTATCGATGCAAAAGGATCGAGTATAACAGTATTAAAATTGATAATTTACAATTTAAAACTGAAGAATATAGTTTTTATGGAATTACCAACAGTTTGGGTTTATTATCGTGGTTTTATGAGAACCTAATTGAATTTTAGCAGTAAATATAAAAAATGTATATATTGGTTATAAAACTGGAATACAAAACTGTTCTATCAGTAAAGCTGAACACGCTTTAATCGAGCAGGCTATAAATATTTCAATCAAATTCTTTCCAGTAGTTAATTTTGCCAAGACGAACAAAGAAATTGAACTGTAAAGATCTCTGGGGAATGCGTATACACACACAGCTCCCCGTTTACGTATATTACGTATATTCCGAGGTAACGATATAGTAGAGGCAGTAAAGTCAGCGAGACCATAAACAGAAGCTTCTTTTACGGGGCCAGTCCGCCCAGGCTCCTTGGTCCCCCGAGCATCTTCACTATTGCAAAAGTTTCCGGAACTATACTAAAAGGATACCTAATTTATAAGGGGGTTGTTTTGCACCACGCCTGGTCGAGTTGTCACTTTTCCGCTATCGTAATAGTCTTTGTTGACCGCCGGACTCAATCCTCGGTTTATAGCCCCCGCTGGGTTTACTACCCTCGCTACACCGTTACCTACAAATTTCAGCAATAACTCTCTGCAAGATTCGACAATTTCGACATCGACAGATTGGAATTCCGCGTAGCCTTCGTTTTTCAGGCGCCGCGTGATCAACGATCTTTCGATTCGCTGCGTTCTCAGCGCGCTCGTTATATCGAACCAATACCGCAAAACGTATCCATACAACAATTAGTATAATGCATTGTTGTTTACCATTATTCCGTTTGATTTTGGGAAAGTTATATGGATTAAACAGAATCTCTGGTAAAAAATGACCAATCGTGGCAGGGTAGAGATCGAGGCGACTGGGATCAGTTCAGACTTATCGTCGGAAAACTAATAGTTAAAACTTAGAATCAACATCTTTTTTCACCAATTTCTTATTAATAAACATTCAATATTAGTAAAAAAATGTTCAAAAACTTAAAAATCTTCGTTTTATAAAATAAAATTCAATTTCTTCTGACGACTACATATACTTTTTATTATGACAGTAGAGTGACGACACAAAATGCATTTTCATAATAAACTATTAAAAAATTTGTCGTCACTTTGGTTCAAGACTACTTTTGATCTCATATGATTTTATCTTTTAATCCAATTTTTCGAAACGATACCTACTCTATGTTTTCATGATTTCATAACCTTTCGAGCGTCCATCGCACGCTTGCTTGTCGATTTAAATCGTTTTGACTCGACAATCGAAAGGGTTATTCTAGAATAACAAAGCTGAATGTTATAAATGAACATTCTTCATTGAACGGGAAGAGTGGTTGTCTTCACAAACGGAATCTGATTTCCAGCTGAAACTGTAAACGTAATCCGCGGTGTTTTATAGCGTGATCTTGGAAAAGGGATACCATGGTTGGAATTCGAAGAAGGTTTCAGGTGAAGCGCTGCGACTGCTTTAAAGAAAGTCACTGGTCCGAGATCTAATCAGCTTTGAGAAAGGGAAGATCGCTGAAAAGCGACTTGACCCGATAAGAGTGTGAATCGCATTATTTATTTATTACGAATTTGAAACCAACCAAATGTCCACAAATCCCTCAATGTTCGTTGTAATCGTAGAAAATTTCCCGTTCTGTGCAAATGTTACTAACTTTTAACACTAGAATTATAAAACGCACCAATTTCAAGCATGTTGGATTTTATAAACATTGTTTGGTAAATGTTTACGTAAATTTTGATTGATGTAATTATACGAATCTACATATTAATTATCAATTTTGAACGTGTATTTTCTAAAATTTAAATGGACAAACATCAATTTTTCTAGGAACATTATACATGTAATTCAGATGTGTTTCAATCTAATAAATAAATATGAATTATCTTAACCCGATTGTTAACAATCGATCTATAACTTCACATCTGTTTATTTACTGGGAGTTTTATAATATTAGTACAATTTTCTATTATAACATACTATTTTCCTCTCACATTAGCTCTATCAGCCGCCAATCTAAAAGTGGACAGGGGTAAGGAGACTCTTCCACTCACGATGCTGAGGTCACCTCAACCTCGAGCGCATGGTCATTATTGGCGCGCAACAATAGCTTAGGACGCAAGCGAGACCGAACGCGATGAAGTAAGACGTAACGATAGAAAACAAAATTCTCTATAGCTCCGTCTCACTCCGTCGCATTCGACCACGGTCCCGTCCTTTATTATTGCCGTGTGCCAATAATGGCTATGCGCCGAAAGCCGAGGTGACCCGAGAAAGGTGACTGAAGGACTCCCCCTGCACCTATGCACTTTTAGCTTGGCAATCGATGGAGCTAATGCGGAAGGCGTATAATATATACGACTTAGTGCTAAGTTGTTTATATTGAGTGTAGAAATGAATTTGGTGTTTTTCAACATGTTCAATAATTACATATTAAACAAGAATAATTAGAAGTAGGCAGGACGAAAATCCGAAATGTTATTTCAAGTTTTATTTCAATTCAAATTAAAACCAATATTTCTATGTTCTATGTTCATTGCATTTCAATTCAGTTTACATGCTTGGCAACATGAAGGTCGTTACTTTCGATCATCTTTTAGACAAAGATAGAAAATCTGCAAATAGCGAGGAGTGTATAAAATTCAAATGGATTTGTATAGAAGATGATCGAATATATATATACCTTACTTTATTAATTAAATAATCAAAGGGTTAAAAGCTCTATCAATATTTTCTTTATACGTATAATTGCTAACATCTTATTCTTTTATTAGTTATTACTATAAAATTTTCAACCGTTAAGAGGAAAACTGGACATACTATACATTCTATTGAACTTGTTCGATTTACGTTCGACTAGTAAACTGGTCAAATGTCCCAAAATTCTTTTACCACACCGAGCCGTGACATTTCCATGAAATTCACATGCCGGAGGGAGTCCCAGAACCTTTGCCCGACAAATTGTTGGTAAACCGTAGATAACGGGGACAGAAGCGAATTCGTGGTCGTGGAAGGAACGTCATGTTGAACAGTTTATTTGAATTTTTCTCTCAAATATTCGTCTATTCAAATATTGACACGACAGACGCCGCTGCGATGCTGTCCAAACTATATTCGTCAAATCACTTTGTCGTCATTTTACGAAGATGCACTTACTTACGATAAAAATTGAGAGGGACGAACGGCTTAGAGCCATAAAACTTAAAAATTCAAATCAATAAATACTTCTGAACCAAGCATATATCTCGTGACAATTACAGCACAAACATTTCATTCGACAGGCCATTCTTAAATGTTATCTTGACGTTGCGTTTGAATAGTCATGTTACAAGCAAAATTTCTCTTCGTTTCCTGAGATGTTTTATGAAAGATAATTGTAAATAAGGCACCAATATTTGCCTCCT